ATGGAGATCTTTCCTTAAGCTCTGCAGGAGAAAGCCGAACCAATTTTTGCTAAAGAAAAACAAAAAAGGAGAGAACGGAGCGCCACGACCTTGCGCAATGACTCGGGTAGGATATGGCGAGGCGCTCTGGTCTCTCCTTTTTGTTTTTCTTTAGGACACACGTCCGGATTTACTTGGAGCCGCACACCAGCACGCGACATCCGATCATTTTCTTCCGAAGAGCGCTCAAAACATTGGACTTTCCTTTCATAACTTTTTACATAACCAATTTTTGGACTAGATTCCTTCTTGGCGTTGTTCCCGGTGTTCTCCTCTGTTGACCACATCAGGTTGTAGGTTCTCTCTTCCCTGTTTTGGAAGGAATTTGTTGTTGTTCATCTGGTTTTTGGTGGGTTCTGGTTGATCAGGTTGTTGTTGTTCGGTGTTCCCTTCCCTGTGAAGTAATTTGCTTCTGGTATTGTCCTTTCTCTTCCTGTTCTGGGGGCATCAGGTTGATTCATCGTGCTCTGCCTTTGGTTGTGTTTCCAGGTTCCCATATCTGGTATAGGGTCCCACCTCATCTTGCCGTTGGTCCTTCAGGCAGCTTCTGGAGCATCAGGTTGATTGATTGTGCTCTGCCATTGGTTGAGTTTCCAGGTTCCCCTATCTGTTGTAGTGTCCCACCTTATGTTGCTGTTGGTCCTCCAGGCAGCTTCTGGGCACCAGGTAGTCTCCAGTCTTCCCAGTGAGGCCTGGCATTTTGCTCATCCTTCAGTTGGGCTGCTTTTGGACGTTCCCACTGTGTCAATCCTCGATGGATGAGAAAGAAAATTGGATTCTTGTACTTGCTGTAAAATCCTTTTCTTGGAGTCCGCAGAGAGAAGGCCCCACCCCTGTGTATTTGTTGATTACCTTAGTACTGCTTAAGATGCTGAATAGAGGAAGGGGTATACTTAGGGCTGCCTTCCAATTATTCTGTTTACCAGTGTCCTGTAGTAGACGGCAGTATAACCCGACTTTATCTGAATGCCTGTGTCCCTAAATGGAAGCCAAGAAGAGGTCATTGAGGACTTGTCTTAAAAAATGTTTACTGCTTGTTAAGAATTTTTCAATAGTTAAATGTCCGTCGCCTGGCCGCACTTATTCGTAGTAGTAGTAGAACTCCAGGCAATCGAAAAACTAACCTTTTCAGTTGGGCTGCCCCTGCACTGCAAGGGTTAAGCGCTCATTTTGGTCTAGTCCAGTGGTTCTCAACCTTTCTAGGGCTGGGACCCCTTGGTAACATTTGCCAAGTTTTGTTGACCCCCCAACTGTAAAATTTAGGGATTCACCAATACTAGTATCTGTGTGGGCTCTCAGGTGGCTATTGGGCTCTCTGGTGGTGCCCAGTGCGGGCTCTGTGGTGATCAAGCACTCACCTCCCCTCACTCCTTCCTGCTCCCCTCTCTCTGATCCTCTCCGGCCGCTGCAGCACCATCTAGGAGTACTGACACTGCTGCGCTAGGAGGAGGCTGAGGAGCCTCTTACCTAGAGCAGCACAAGGCACGTGGGGACCACCGTAACTGGGGGTTGCGACCCACAGGTTGAGAACCACTGGTCAAGGGGCTACAATAAAGATGCTGAGGGACATTGCCACAGGACCCGAAGATCAGGTGAGTGTATCTTTTACCCATAGACCAAAGCAGGCCGTTAACCCTTGCAGTTTGGGGGGGTTGTCCTTTAAAGCAAAACCTGTACTATGCCCATGAAGAGCAAAACAACAGGATCACTTTAACCACTTCACTGCCACCAAAGATTTTAAAGGAGAATTATGAGGAGAATTATGAGGTGATTCATAGTTCGAGCCGACGTGTGACAATGAAACTGTCACAGGTCAGCTCAATAGATCGGGAAGTGAGCGAACACATACCGGCGCTCGCTCACCTCTCGATCCTGTCACTGCAGAGAGCCGTGACTGTCACTCACGGCTCCCTGCAGGGATTCCCCCCTCCCCTGTCCGATCCTCCAGCGCTGACTCTGGATAGACAGAGCCAGCTGTCACTCACGCAGCTGGGTGGATCCAGACAGCATTGTCGGGATCTGTTCCAGCTGCGGCGTTTCAGTATACCGCAAGCTGTAGCTCCCTATATACTGAGCCTAGGGTGACGGGAGGACGCTAGTTTGTGTCCTCCCGTTACCCTGAGGAGAACTATGGGGAAAAGCCCCGACCTCGTAGTTCTCCTTTAAAATGGCGGAGTGTCGGACTTGTATTTCCGGGGTGCCTTTTATAAACAGCACTGCAGAAAACACAGACGAACAGCGCGGTGCTGCTGTGCTCTAAGTTGTCATCAGATGGCTCACATCACAGGCACACAGTGTACGGGGCCAACCTGAGCCGCTCTGTACCTTGTGATCACTCTGGTGACCAATCAAAGAGAGTACAGATGTAAACATTCTAGTGTTTACATTTGAGGGCCCCCCCCTTCCTCTCACAGGGGGGGGGGGGATTGATCAGTAAAGATTAAATGAATGGAGGGATCAACAGCAGTGTCCTGGTGAAGGGTTTAAAATGACTGCGGGATAATTTTTTACCCAGCGGGGGTATTACAGGCCGGTACTCGAGTGGTTAATGCGGCCCTACCCAGCACCGCATACCGTTCCTTTACTTCCCAACTGCTCCATTGAGCCATCGTAGGTGAAGAAAACAGCCGGCACTTCCAGGTAGAGGGGGGGCATGTGACTGCGCTGGTGTGATTGGCCCAGCGCTGTCACATGATGCCCTGTATAAGCTCTGACTATAGCTGCTTTCCCCACTCCTGGAGGCAGATCACATCGGCAGTGGAGAGAAAGAAGGGTTCATTTGTGCTGCTGTGGGGGGGTGGGGGGGGGCATTAAAGAGAACCTGCTAATTACTGAATTGTATATATGTGACAAATGATTTGTAATTCTGTTCAGTCAGTCTCGTGAGCCAAACTTCCTTTCAGGCAGGACAGCCAGGTCCTGGACCGATCCTGCAGATACGAGTAGGCAGCCACTGCTGAGCCCTCTCGTTAGCTGCCATAATGGCTTCTTTCTTGGTATCACCGGCCCGGAACTAACATGTAGATAAAAACGATAGTCCCCTCCCGAGTACATGGCTCGTTGTTTAGCACAGAGGATCAGAATGACAGCCAGCCAGCTGGGATTTTTAGGTCAGCCCCCATATTTCTCGCAGGACGGGTGCAAGCAGTACAGGTGGTCCTGGACCGATCCCTAGGCCGTGACATTGAAGGAGCAGCAGCTCCATGACGACCCTGCGCGCGCTCCTTTTGGCATGTTCACAGAGCTAGACGTGACAACACATTGCAAAGTAACAGAGCCCTGGTTGGCTGCCCTATTCCTCCTCCGGTGTGTATGCTGCATTACAGGACTCTGATACTGGGACTTATTCAGGTACTTGGCTGTGTGATGGAATATCATTTATAATAAATCTTAACTTGGAATATACGTATTTATTTTATACATCTGCCTG